ACGCATGATCGCACGGGCCCACCCGGTGCGTTCCAGCCTGGGTTTTAATATATATTTGTGTAATTCTTATATGTTTATTTTTTATACGTATCATATAAGTCTTTTGCATCTCAATGTGGTGTTGCAGCTCAACTAGTGAAATTTTGATGGGGCCTAATGCGTTTTAATTGAATTTGAGTGATTCTTGTCTTTTTGCTTTCCTCGTCTAATTTGACCTATCATTGCTTCTCAGCAGTCACAGCTTATTCTCGATTTTTTTATCACAAAAAGGCTCAGTTCTTCTGTAGACTATGATGATTTGGATGCTTGCACGAGCATTTGTCACTTACCGATCGGAAAGCGCCGGGCCTGCAAAATCCGCCGCTACACACTCCGAGATAACATGCATCTTCGCCGTCGAACCGATCGCATCGACCGCCGAATTTAATTTTTGAGACGCAGTGAGCCGGGCCATTTCTGAGATCGCAAAATAGGAACTGCGAGCCACAGCTCGGCCGCTGCTGACTGCATGTTGGACGTGCTGCGAATACGTACATATGATCCGTGTAAGCATTCGACAGACCTGAAGGGCATTTGTTTAGCTCTGCCAAATGTGTCAGTCAGTGTCAAAAGAGTGGAAATAGGTGATGCAGGACAGGAAGCCTGACAACACTCCAGTAATAGCCTAGCTGACATCCAAGAATCCACACTAGCTGTCTCGACAACTGTATCAGTTTTGGCAAATTAATATTGTATGAAAAACTCTTCAACGCAGATAGGCAGAATAAGATCTCAAAAGTAAGTTCAGCGAAGAAAAAAATTCATAGTCGGAATCCAACCCCCATTCACTGTTTATAAAGGATGGAAGCAAAGTAGCTCAACTGTAACATGTACCAAGAGCGGTCATTCGCTGGCAAGACCATCAATGGCTTGCTTTTGGATGGTTGCTTACAAGCAAGCTGATGATGGACTTTACTGCCTGACATGCACTATTACCAGTGCGCCAAAAGAGAACGAATAAGCGAGTCGTAGGGGGGCAAAATTACAGCCTCTAAAGTCTAGAAGAGCAAAAATGAAAATGATAAGAAAAAAGGCAGAATAATAAAAAGTTAGACGTTGGAGTTCGCAAAAATTACTGTGATAGAAAAGCCCTAAATAACTGTTCTTAGGTGGAAAAAAGGGCTTAGGAATGCATTCGAGTTACCTTGGATGTTGATAAGATTGAATGGGCGCATATTCGCATTAGCGTAGTGTAATGGCGTCGCACAGGATGGTATCTCGAGCGGATAGCTCTGAAAATTAAGAAAAGAAGGAGTGTATAACAGGCAGAACCCAATCCATAAATCATTTTGAAAAACGGAGCACTTGAAGACGTTCCAAGTGATAGCATATTTCTAAAAAGTCAAGACAGTCGATGACTGAGAAGCATGCCAAATAAACGTAGGTGTGATATCTACTAGCACTTCAGTTTCGTTCGACAGTGAGAATTTGCTACATGCAGCTACTAATCATCGCTCAAAACTAATAAATTTAAACTGTGCGAAAGCGAACAAATTTTGACTGGTTTACTGACAGCTGAAACAGGGGAATGATATGGGGTGATATGCGCGATAACACGATTCAGTCAGTTTCTCATTTGTCCCTCGGGCAGAAGTGTACTACATTGGTTTACTTCGTAACTTCAGTGATTTTAACTTCATTCTTCTCTTTTGTCTCCACTTAGTATTTCCTTACAAACATCATTCTCGCATCTTGTTTGTTATTCTCTTTTCAAGTAGCCACATTAGAAATGATCGTTCGGAGCAAGTGTCTTGACTGGTGAAAATCTCTTCTTCCTTCTGGCATTCTAGTATTGCTAAACTTTCATGCATTTT